AGACAGTGAAGATGAATAAGCTCAGCTCAGGTTGGAGTGTTTGTCAGCAAAAGCAGAGCCTTATGTGTATACATAGCTTTGAAATATTCTGTCATTGGCGGACCTCAGGGGTAAAGTAGCAATAGCACTCTGGAAACCCAAGATCAATAAGCACACCATAATCCAACTAAGTTGCAGGGTGCGTGAAAAGTGTTACAATACTTCAGAGTATGGTGTGTAGCCGCTGGTTGCATGCTAATCCTTCATTTTCTGCCCCTGTAAATTCCCCTCCCAGCCACCTCCCTCCGCAAGTCACCCCCACGCCCAATCTCCTGTGAAAAATTGTTCCAGAACCAGGCAGATGGCACAGATCCCAGTGTAACAAACCTCCTTTGTTAGCGGCATCGGTTGGCTTGGGAGTGAGTGCCTGTGAGCAGGCCTGGAGAACAATTTTGCGATAATCTAGGTCTCGTTTCTCCTTCCTATCCGTGCCAGAGGGTGGGCGAGGCAGTGCCATTGATTTCAGGAGCCAGTGCCGGGGTTTATCTGCGTAGTCGTGTTTCTTTTATTCAGCAGCCTGCGGGGGGAAAACAAAATCCAGGCTCACAGGCATCACTGTGAATGATTCTGAGAGCTTTATTTGATCTCAAACCCTATCAGTGTTTCTATGCACATTTTGGTCTCTCTCTCTCTCTCTTTTTCTTTTTTACAACCCTTTCAGTTCTCTAGCAACTTAGAGAATAGCAGTGCATTTTGGCCGGAGTGGAATGTGAGAAGCGAAATTACATTTGAAAAAGAATCTTTTCTCTTAGTATGTGAAAGATAACTGGCTAAACAACAGGTCACAGTGAAACCACTCCACCCATACCAGGGTCCCAGTGACGGGAGCCAACTTACACAAACACTGCTTAATTTTGTTGAAATTTTAGGACTGTCTAGCACGCAAAAGACTGAGCTTTAAAGGCAAGTACTGTACGTGGAACCTGAGTCACGTCCTCACATGATGGCGGATGCATGGTCCTTGTTCTCAGCCTCTTTTTGCATGAGGAGTAGAATGTGACTCCCAATTCGGAGCAGTCGACATGAACTCGGACTCGCTGACTGCCAGTCAGAGCTGACTCCTGAGTCCTGGCTCCCCTCCTATTAGCTGTGTTACTCTGGTACACTAAGCAACCTTTCTGTGTTTCACTCTTTCTTACCTGTAAATATGGGGAAATCGTAAGGACTGTCCCACTGTACTTTGTAAATGTTAAATGAAGTTGTGTGTATAATGTTCCTGGTACAGGACCTATTAGATTCTAGCATAAAAGCTCAATGTACGTCCATTGCTGTGTTATTTCTCTTGTCTTGGATCCTTCCTGAGCAGCCCTAGACATGACTTCAAGCAGACCCCAGGAAAGCTCAGGATTTGGGAAGAGCTGCTGCAATCTCCAGACCTCAGGACTGAACAACGGGGCGTGTGCTCGGTACACTCTGCATGTTGATGTGTAAGTTCAGGGTGGCTCTAGTGCTAGGAAGGACCAAGGAGCTTGAGCTCAGACAGGACGTTTAGCTCCCTGAGCCTGGTCAGATCACCCCCGAGAGGCATCAGGATCTGGCTGTCACATGCTTTTCACTAGGGACTTCCAGTCACTGGCAGGGCTCTCCAACCAGAGCCTTGAACCTGTGTCTCCTTGCATCTTAGTTCTACTTGACCCCTGGCTGTGGAACCCTGGGCTTTGACCTGGACCCTCAGCACCGGCCTACATCGATCTCTCAGTGATCCCTACTCGGACCTCCACTCATCCCTACAAGAGACCCCTCCACTGGTGGGGTACTGCCTCAGCTTGCCATAGAGCAGGGCATTTTTTAACTGATGAGGAGGGGTGGAGGGCTATATGGTGACTAAGAAATATAGAAGTGTGAGCCGGTATGGACCAATATTGCCAGTAGGTTTTATGTAGCTTTATAAAAAAAATTGTTTCTGTGAGATGCTTTTTTATTTTTATTTTATTTATTTATTTCTGTCTTTCTGAGACAGAGTCTTACTATTCAGGCTGGCCTTGAGCTCACTTTGTAGCCCAGGCTGGTCTTGAACTCACAACAATCCTTCTGCTTCAGCCTCCCGAGTGCTGGGATTACAGGCGTGCACCACCATGTCCAGCTGAGATGCCTTTTTAGAGACAATAAAAAGTCAGCCTCAACTAACTCCATTATGACTTTGAGGCTATGTTGCAGAGCTGTGTGGATTGTAAAGGAAAATCTTAAGGGCTTAATTGTTTAAAACCGTCTTAAATTCTTACAGTTGACGGGAAGCAATTGTGGACAGAGAAATTGTTCTTTGTGAACTCTGATACAACAAGCACCCTGCCCCTAGCTGAACCCTAGAAAGAGAACAGTGCAGGCGCTAGAAGTTCTCCTGTCCTTGAGCATGTTTTATGGAACTGGCAAAGGTCCGTTTGAAAATAGAAATTTATATGTACTTTATAGAAACAATTTATACAATTTAAGAGAATCTAAAAGTTTCAGAAATGTCTATGCCTCTTTACCAAGAAATTACAGTTCTGGGGTGCTTTCCTACAATAAATATTTACTTATTGACTACCTACTATGTGTCTAAAATTTTTATGGCCATTTAAAAAATTTTAATATAATACAAATAGATATTAATAAAGGAAATGTAGAAAAACACTTCTTAAATTAATCAAAAATAAACTTTCATAACAAAATAACTAGAAAATAATGATAGTTAATACTCTGTACATCATAATCTTAATAGAATGGTCAAAATGTTGCTTGGAGTACAAGTCACAGGCATAAATTTGAAATACTTCAAAGAAGAGCAACATTCATGATTGTCACCAGAGATTTCACTTTAGCAATGGATGTGGGCAGTGTAAGGAACATAATGACTATATGAGCTACAAAGAATAGTTAAGGGTTTAAGGTTATTGGGGGAAAGTGGAACAGGCAGAAGAGCATCAGGAATGGGCACACCAGCAAGAAACATGATATAACATAAATGAAGATCCATTGCAACATTTTAAAAGGCTGCATAATATTTCATTATTTGGAAGCATTGTAATTTGTTAACCAATTTAATTTAATCCACTTTTCTATAATGTCTGAAGTAGCAATGAGCATCCTTATATGTCTGTCTATCTTTCTGCCTATCTATCTATCTTCTTAAATTTCTGGAAGTTAAATTATTAAATTAAATGCTATACACTGGTTTAAGTCTTACTTTACAGAAAGTCTGAACCAATTTAAATTTTCTAGTACTTACAGTTTTTTTGCTCTTGTTTAACTGCATCATGAAGAAATTATTTCAGCTAAATGTTCTGGATACATTATATGGTATCAAATGAAAAAGAAAAGTAACATATTCAACACAACTCATGAGATTATATGTACACTTGACTAACTATTGAATACATTCTGCATCTATTGAGACAATCAGGTGATTTTTGCCTTTGGCTCTGTTGATATGGAATATTACATTTATTGCTTTGCTTATACTGAACCATCCCTGCATTCCTGGAATGAACCCCACTTGGTCATGGTGTATAATCCTCTTGATAATTGCTGCATTCCGTTTGCTAGTATTTTATTGAGAATTTTTGCATCTATGTTCATTAGGGAGATTAGCCTGTGGTTCTCTTTTTTTGGTTGGGTCTTTCTCTGGTTTTGGTATCAGGGTAATACTTGTCTCCAGGAATGAGTTAGAGAGAATTGTTTTCCTTTTCAATTTCAATAAAGAGTTTCAGGAGTCTCCAAATTTCTTGTAGAATTAGGCTGTGAATCCATCAAGACCTGGGCTTTTTTTTATTGGTAAGTTTTTAATTACATTTCCAATTTCATTAATTGATATTGGGTTATCCATAATTTTTATATCTTCTTGATTCAGCTCAATTCAGATGTTTCTAGGAATCTGTCCATTTCTTCTGCATTTTCCATTCTATGAGAGTAAAGATTTTCAAAGTAGGTATTGACAATCTTTTGAATTTCCACAGAATCTGTAGTGATTTCACCCTTTTCATTTCTTATTGCATGAATTTGAGTATTTTCTTTCCTTTTTTTTCATAAGTATGTCTACCGGGGCTATCAATTTTATTTATTCTTTCAAAGAACCAACTCGTTGATTCATTAATCCTATGTACTGCTTCCTTAGTCTCAACTGCATGAACTTCTGCTCTGATCTTTATAATTTCCTCCCTTCTTTGGGCTTTACTCATTCTTCTTTTTCTAGAACCTTGAGGTGCAGCATTAGGTTGCTTATTGGGGGCAACCGAAAAGAAAAAAAAACTCCCAAAAGAAAAAAATTAAAAGGAAAAAAAAAAAAAGAAAAAAAAATCAAAAACAATGGGCAATCAAAAAAAGCAAAATAAAAAAAAAACGAAAATCCATCTCACCCCAGAAAGAATGGCTACCATTAAGAAATCAACCAGTAACAAATAATGGAGGGGCTGTGGGGTAAAAGGAACCTTTATCCACTGTTAGTGGGAGTGTAGACTGGTGCAACCACTGTGGAAATCAGTGTGGAAAATCCTCACAAAACTAGGATTAGAGGCCCCATTTGACCCAACCATTCCCCTTCTGGGTATTTTCCAGAAGAACTGAAAACATCACACCACAGTGAAATATGTACATCCATGTTTATGGCAGCACAGTTTGTGATAGCTAAACCTTGGAAACAACCCAAATGCTCATCAACTAAGGAATGGATAAAAAAGATGTGGTATTTTTATACAATGGAGTACTACTCAGCTATAAAGAAAGATAAACTCAAGGCTTTTATAGATACATGGATACAACTAGAGACCATACTCATAAGTGAACTAAACCAGATTCGCATGTGTAAACATCTTGTTGTTTCCCTAGTGTAAGAAGCTGCGAGAGTAAATAAGATCCAAAAGGTACAATAGATATTGTGAAAAATAAATATTCAATACATTGGCATCTAACTGTTTCCTCACTTTAATATGATACTATGAGTGATTTTTGCAACCTTCTCTATGCTTTTCTGTATTTTGTAGGTTTTTTGAACTGCTCAATCAACATGAGTTTCTTCTTCTAATGTCTTTGGTGAACACTGACAGTAAGGTGTGCTGGCTTGGTTAAGTCGAAAGTACTGGGACTGGCAAGCGCTATTTCTTCGTGTTCTTGTTCTCCTTCTCAGTAGGTGACAGTGTCTCAAGCCATCAGCTAACAGCTCTGGAGCTCTGATCCGCCGGAATGCTGGCTGCTGTTCAGGAGAGAGCAGGGTGAGGCTGTTCCCCTTTCTCCTACATGGCTGGGTCCTTCAGAGTCACAGATGAGTTCTGCCAAAAGACCAGGCTTAACTCATTTTGGTTTTTTGGTACAAAGTCTCACTTAGTCGTCCAGACAGTCCTCAGACTTGCAATCCTTTTGCCTCAGCCTCCTGCGTAACTAGAATTTCGTGTCTCGGCACTGTAACCAGCTTCAGGCTTGAGCCAACTTCATATACACCTTCGCTCTATGAGTGGGGTCGTGTTGTTGATCCCCCTACGTGGAGTCCCCCAGAGAAACGGCTTATCTCTTCACCTGCTGGGGATACAGAAAAGAACACGACAGACACAAACAGTCCCTGCCCTCACAGAGCATCTCACGGTGTGGCAGATCATGCATGCCCTTTGTGAAAGGGGAAGGTGAAGTAAGGAAGGGCGTAGAGCAGCAAAGGGAGAGGACGCGGAGGTCTGTGACGGAGGTCCGGGCAAGCGAGGCCACCTTGGGGCTCAGCCGGGCTCAGTGGGATCAGAGGATACCTGCTGCCATGGCCTTAGATATCTCCGCATCTGGGGAAGGAGTAGGTCGCCTGACTCTTGCTCCGGCAGCGATGCTCACAGTCCATCAGACTGAGTGTCTTCCCCATGGATACTCAGGAGCTGAGGAGAGGGATGGGTGATCAGAGCTCAGAAGCGGGGAGAGGATTTCCCTGAAGGCGGGATGCAGGCGGGGCCATCTCCCGCTTTGCTAGCTGAGCGGCCGCCTCACCTCAGTCTCTGCTTTGCAGTGCTCTGGCTGTGTGCTGGCGGCGGGGGACACCCTCCAAACACACAACTGCATCTCCTACGTGTTCAGGAAATGTACGAGGTAAGGATTTTGTTATTCATGGGCAATATTATGCCCTCGAAACCACCACTTATTGGCAATTTTGTTTTCAAACACAGAAAACAAGAAATATTTCCAAGTGGCAGATACGGTGTATGCAAAGAACACAGGCTCATATAAACAGACCCTTCCCAGTAAGAGCACTTCTTCTTTACGGGTCATTTACAAAGCTAATTGCCATACAAGCCAAGTCTTCCCACTCCACAGTATGGGCTTCTGCAGCACTTACAGCTTGCCTTCCTTGTGCTGCTGAAGCAAGCCCGTCCGCGCCTTGTTAGAGCAACACACCTGTTATGCTCCTGAGGAAGATTACTGATGCCTGCAGGGACCGGCTGCGCATGCTTAAAGCACATAGAAGTATATGGGGGCTTTTGCTACTATAAAATAAAGGTGCTTTGTACCCAAAGCCTCCAAAGATTTTTTTTCCTTTGTTTTACCTTCAAGTTTTCATTTTCTAATGTAAGGACAAGAGGGGGAGGTGTGCAAGTCCTGAAGCGAATTCCTAGCTTAGCTCTTGGTCACTATGACACATACTTGAGACAGTCACCGTATCCAGGGAAAAGGTTTCTTCCGGTTTGCAGTGTAAGAGCTGCTGGCGTGACTGCCGGCCGCTTAGCCTTGGGTGGAGCAGCACGGCGGACGGTGCAGGGAGGGCGCTGGGGCGGAGCAGCTCCCTCGTGCCTGCTGAGCGAAAGGAAGGAGAGGAACAGCACTCAAGCGCCACCTCTGCGCAGCGCTGCCTCCGCTGGTGGTGACGCCGGGACACGCTCTTCCCACGTGGACCTGGAAGACCCAGACGGTAACAATCCCAGGTTCCCGCCCACTTGCCTTTGGTGCCTTTTAGAAGTTAGTGTGCCTTTGTGATACAGAATGACTAACCCCACTGCGAGTGCTGGGTGCATGCGGGTGACACATCTGAGGTCTCTCTTCACCTCCCCTTCTCCCTTCTCGTTCCCATTTGGGAGAGATCTCTCTCGCTGCGTCCTGTCCTCTGTCTTTCGTTTTGCTTGATTTGTGCTCTGGATATCTCGTAGGAGACAAACTACATGGTATGAGAACTTGTGCGTCTGATTTATTTCACTTCACATGATGTTCTCAAAGCACATCCATTTCCCTGCCAGTGACTCAACTTTATCCTTCTTTATAGTGCAATAGTATTCCATTACTTACAGCTACTACATTTTCTTTATTAATTCATCCACTGATGAACACGTAGGCTGCTTTCAAGATTTGTCTAAACACGGGTATAAAGATGGGCGTGCTGTAAACATAGGTGTGCGTGTAGCACTGCAGCGTGACATCGCCAGCTCTTTCGAGGAGACATCTGAAAGTGGGGACTAGTTGGGCCAAATGGAATTCCTACTAGTTCCTATTAGTTTTTTGAGGGCTCTGCATACTGGTTCCCATAACGGTTATACTAGTTTACATTCCCACCACCAATGTAGGAAAGCTCCCCTTTCCCCATACCGCACCAGGATTTGTTATTATGTGAGTTCCTGATGGTTGGCATTCTTTCTGGGAATAAGACAGAGTCTCAGTGTTGTATTTCTCTAACGGTCCGTGATATTGAACCTTTTTATGTGTCTATGGGCCTTCTGTGTTTCTTCTTCTCAGAAGTGTCTATTCACTTACATTGCCCATTTTTTCATTGTGTCTTTTATGGGGAGGTCTAATTTTTTCAGTTCTTTATATATTCTAGATATTAGTCCTCTATCTGAGGAATAGTTGGCAAACATTTTTCCCGTTCTGTAGGTTGTCTCTCTACTCTGTTCGTTGTTTCCTTTGCTGTGCAGACTTTTTTTAATTTGCTGTGATCCCATTTGTTGACTTCTAATGTTATTTTTGTGCAGCAGGAATTCTGTTCAGAAAGTTCTTGCCCATATTTATGACTTCAAGAGTTTTACCAATTCTATCTTCCAGCAGGTTGAATGTTTCTGCTTTAATATTTAGACCTTTGATCCATTTCGATTTTAGTTTAGTACACGGTGAGAGACATGGATCTTATGGGTACATTTTTCTATGAACCTCTGAATATCATTAAGTCTTATGTTTAGTATTAATAAGTTCAACACAATGAACCGCATTATAGTTCAGGGTGCTGAGATGTGCAGCTTGGTCTCCTCCTCCTCCTCTTACTATTACCTTTTTCTAATACACAGTCTTCCTAAATTGCCTAGGCTCGCCTCAAGCTTGCTATCCTCCTGCCTCAGCCTCCTAAGTAGCTGGGATTAGGCGTGTGGCACAGCACCCATCTGTTTTTGCACTTTGAGTCTCAGTCTCTACCTGGAACTTCCCTGCTCTGAGATCTTCAAAACCACACCAGCTAGCTCCTCCAAAGACTTCCCAGGAATGCTGGAAGTGCTTAGTAAATGTCAAAGAGCCCAACAAATGGAAACCTAGAGTTAAATAAACACACGTCTTGAAAGTAAGTGTAGTGTGTGAGATAAAGAGAACTAAGCAGAAGAAGGGCTAACCTTTGAGGGAAGAGATGTGTGGCTCCCTCTCAGGAAAACAAGGGTCAGGCTCCCCCTCAGCCACCCCATGGTGCATACCCCCCACCCTTCTCCTCAGGTGGGCTCAAGCCGGGACACAGTGCCACCAGGAGAGGAGCGGGGAACGGGCTTTGGAAGTGAGTCTGGGCTGTGTTTACACTCCCAGCCAAAGTACTGAAAGACAATGTCTATGTTCCTGGAAACTGGACCGGAAGCCTGGTCAAGGGGCCAGTTGTGATGCTGCCCTGCTGGCGAGTGTGGATGACACATATGCAGCATTGCACGGTGCCCTGCCCGTGGTGTTGGTGGGGGGAGCCCTGCCAAATTTCACCGGCCGAGCAACAAGCAACCTGATTGAGACTGAGTGCAGCGTGGTGCGGGCTCTGGCACCTGCCGCCAGCAGCCCGGGCCCTCCGGGTCCAATTCATGGGTGACCCACTTACAGCTACTCTCTGGTGGGTGGAGGATGCCAGTCGTCCCTGCAGCGCTGTGTCTTTTCAGGGCTTGGTTCTCCCCAGCTTGCCCCTTACGTGGAGCTGCAGTAGACTCTGGGGTACCGGGTACCCCTCCCACCTCTTTCTTCTTTTTCCTTAACAGCAGGAGGTTGCTTCACAGATCTTAAACCACACCTTCTAGGGTCAGGCCGTCCCTGCCAAGGTGAACCCTCAGTGTTCAGCCTAAACCCTTGGTGGCTTAAGGGAACCCATTTTTTTCCTTTAGACCCCGTTCTTCTCCCAAGAAATTCTTGGCAAGGAATAGATTTCTCTGGAGTTGCTTGTAACTACGAGGTCAATGCTGGCCATTCTGCTAAGGCAGTGAGGGCGGAGGTTGCCAATTTGACCTTAATCAGGTTTTACTGTGGAAGGAGGGAGACAGGATTCAGAAGGGACAGCTTAAGCATGGACCATATCCAGTTTCCCAGAGAGAAAGCCTGTCTATCATATTATCCCTGCCGGGTGTGTGTGTGTGTCCCTGAATATATATAGAGCACCTCCCAGCACAGTTTGGAGCTAAAGAGCTCTTGGCTGTTTCTAGTTAATTATTTATTGCCTTCATATTTAGCTAACAAGCTGGGAAATGTTTTTCATTTTCCTCTTATCCAGATTCTATGTATCTTTTAATTCTACTAAACAAGAATCTCTGTTAAAGTTTAATGTCCTTTGCAGAAAAAAGTGTATGCATATGCATGCATGTATGTGTGTGTCCATGTACGAATGTTTGTGTGTGTGTTCATGCACTCACATGTGTTACGTATTAATCTGAACTCACACAGAAACCTTTCGCCCTTGCCACGTTCTCCTGTATTTGTTGTGTTCACGACGCAGCTAGCTCCTTAAGTTCCCTACCCTCTGCTTCTGTGCACGCGCAGTGCCCGTGCTCGGCTTCTGCAGAGTCCATGGATAACCCTAGGAGATGAGTTAATACAGGTGCGGGGGCAGCTGGAGCCCGAGTCTAAGCCATGGCCTCCATGGGCAGCGCCCAGCTTGAGTCTGCTCTTGCTCACCTGTCTCTAATCAGTGGTTGTAGAAATCTGGCCGCACATTAGCGTAAGTGAAAAACAGCAATGACAGCACAGCAGCAAAAATAGCAGCAGCCTGGGTGCACGTGCTGCCCTAACCTGGGCGTTTGTGTTTTGATCACCGTGGCAGACAGGTGGTCCTGACGCACGGCCAGGACTGCAGCCTTGGCGTTACAGACTGGGCGACTGCAGCAGCTTCGCAGTTGTTCCTGTGTGTGGAGTCACCTAGGGCTGCCTAGGGACGGACATGACGATTGTGAGGCACAGTGCCTGCATTACTAACCAACTCCCAGGCAAAGTGCAGACCACAAGGCCTAAGGCCTGAAGATTGTACGTTAGTGGTCTTGGATGAGGTGCGTGGATTCCGCCATTAAACAAGCACCCTCAGTGAAATACTCAGTTTTAGCAGTGTTTGGTAGCCCGGAGTGGTCACTGGAGGTCACCTGTTAAACTGGCTCCCAGCCCTCCTGAGGCCCATTCTAGACTCCAGGGGGAGGAGCGGGACAGTGACCTCTAAACGCCCAGAGGTCATTTGGGTGCACACCTGAGGTGGAGCAGGCTGGGCAGGGCAACAGAGCTTCCTGCACTGGGGGGGCGCGGGCCTAGGGGAGCCAAAGCCTTGCCGGAGCTTGTGGAGAGGCCAGCGGGCACCCGCAGCCATTGGCCTTGTCACTCTGAACTGTCATGTTTTGGGATAGAGCTTATTTCATCTCCTGTTCTTTGTGAGTGTCACTTCAGAAGCACCCATGCCACTGTGGTTTCTGCTAAACTTCTACTAAGAAAAAAGTTTCCGTGTCAGTACCTTCTACTGCATGTGCGTTTTCTAGCTCTCCTTTCTTTCGTTTATGCAGATGACCGTATAAGAAGCTCCGAAGGACAGAAAAGGTAGGCTCTGTCTCCCTGCTTCTGAGGGGTCTGCTTTTCTGTGATCAATCGGGTCCCGGTGACCTCCTATTCCGATCCGGCCCTCGAGTCCTGTGACACCCACTGCCAGTGTGAAGAGCCTTCCACAGGGTCAGCAAGGACAGGAGCGTAGCGCACCCAGTTCTGCATTTACTCTCCATGATGCCAGCCACCCTTTGGCGCTGGTAGAAGCGACACTTGCTCCTTGTTGTAGAAGAAGCAACTGACCTTCCTGAAGACCTGAGTCTTAGAGCAGGGAAAAAGAAGAACAAATATATGAGTTTTAAAACCATTTCTTCCTTACCCATTTCTAACCATCTGGAGCTTTCTTGCTAGATAAAAGTCAAAGTACAGATTCAATGACCTTGGATTAATTATAATAGTAGAATCTCCCAAAATAAATACAATTATGAGATTTTCATCTGGAGAGAGTTAACTGATATTTCCTGACATTTTCCAAGGTGCTGACAAAAACACTAGG